ATACATACATACATACATACAGGGGTATACGCACAACATGCACGCAGGCATGCATGCAAGCATGCCTGCGCACATACGCACATACACATACAGATAGGTTCTATTATATATCTATAAATACAGCGAGAGATAGATGTAAATGTTTAGTTATAGACGAGTATGTAGACATATGTCGTGCATTTGTACATACATATACGTTTGTGCGTACATATACAGATACACATGCAACGCTTTCTCGAGCACTGGCAAAGACCAGTATCTTAAAACTTAACCCTAAGCGCATAGGCCCTACAGTAGACCCTAAACCCCAAACCCAAACACCCTCAACCCCCATATCCCCAAACTCTAAACCCTAAGTAATTAAACCCCCAAACCCCTGAATCCGAACTCACAACATCCTAAGTTCCTAAACTTAAATAGCTCCCAAGCCCTAATCCTGAAGCATTACAACCCTAGGCGTATATCTTTTTCTTCTTTGCATCTGCAGCTTGTTGTCGGTGCTGGCATACCAGCCCCTTCTTGTCGCTTAACCATGCTGCTGTCAGCGGTTGAGCTTCGCCTCTTCGCTATGCCCAGCTGAGGTTCAATGCATTAGAGCTTACCCTAGGCGTATATCCTAAACCCCCCACCAACCCTAAATTCGTACAGACTCAAAGTCCTAAACCCCTTACGGCCTCTAAACCCGAAGCCAAGATGCTCGCGTCCTTTGGTTCAACTCGGCCTCGTCGAGTGAGTCCACGGATTTCTGGCTGGTGCCTGGCTTAGCCCGGAGTTTCTGTTTAGGGAGTTTGGAGGGAGGCGAAATTTGGGGCTGTTGGGTGAGGGCCGAAAGTTCACGGGGGTTGTAAAGTTAAGGGTTTTATGTGTTCAGAGTTTCGTTCTGTTTTGGTTTGGGTCAAGTGTTATGTATGTGCCCTCAGAATCACTGTTGTTAAGCATACTGGTCTTTTTGCCGTTGTTGCCACCAGCACCGCCACCACGACCGCACCACCACCACCAGCACCACCACCACGAGCACCAACACCACCACCAGCGCCAGCACCAGCACCACCGCCACCACCACCACCACTACCAGGTCACTACCACCACCACCACGAGCACCACCACCACGACGAGCACCGCCGCCGCGGCCACCAGCACCGCCACCGTCACCACTACCACCACCCCTGCAGCGCAATGTTCGCAACTACGAGAGTTATCCATTGGTCGATGTTATGCTCGCTCTTTGGGTGGTTCTGGCTCCTGATTTTTCTCGGTGCTCCTGTGGCTTTTGTTTTGATCGCCGTCGTCACCACAGGTGATAGCAAACACTCATACCAGTCATGCAGACACGCCGATGACAGCAATGTTGATCATGTTCTTGCTGCTGCTGTCGATCATGATGATGACGATGATGATTCTCATGACGATGATGGCGATGGGGATGGTGATGGTGACGGACACAACAACGATGGCGATGATGATGATGACGATGATGATGAAGAAGATGATGATGATGATACTGATGATGATGATGATGATACTGATGATGATGACGATGACGATGATGATGCTGATGATGATGATGATGACGATGTTAATTAATGATGATGATGATGCTGATGATGATGATGATGACGATGTTAATTAATGATGATGATAATGACGATGATGATGATGATGATGACAATGACGGTGATGGCCACGACAACGGTGGTGCTGTTGATCGTTTCGAGGAAACTGACTGCGATAGAGTTTACTAATGGTGCTGGCCGCCGCTAGGGTCGTGAGATCGTCAATGACGACGAAGGAAGAATGATGAGGTTACTGTGGTTTCTGATTGCCCTCACGATCAGGAGGATGATGCAGGCAATGGCCCCCAGTACGACTATGATGACGACGATGCCGATGACGGCGATGGCCATGCACTAACAGGGTTAAGATGTTCGTCTTACGGCTTGGGCGGTGGTGTGGTGGCGTCGAATCCTCTCATGGTAAGCATGTCCACGTCGTTCAATCACGAGGGTTGCTTCAGGGCCTGGTGCCGCAGAGCTGCAGGCTGGTGTGATCCTTGGCCTTGTGGTCTACAACAACATGCCTGGGCTGGATGTGCCGGGGGCTTTCAGATCGAACCGGTTGACTTGAAGCCGGAAGTTCTTCACAGATCGGAAGGCGATTCCCGCCGGTGGTGTTCAAGAAGATCAAGAACGAGCCTTTGGGGCTGGAAGATCTTCGGCATGCTGTCCTCTCAGACAATGCTTATTGCCATCAGCTTCGAGCTGGCACAAGCTCGCTCTCCGAGGTTTATCCGGACACCTACCTGTCGCTGCGTTCGCTTCTTTCCTGGGAGCCGGACCCGTCCTTGCACGTCCCAATTCCATCGGGGGCCCCTGCTGGTTGATTCTAAAAGCTTCGTATGAGTTGACTGGTCGGCTGCACTGCTGACAACCGCTGCTTCAATTGAAGCTTGGGAGGGCGACGTCTTAAATCGGATTCCATGGGTGGTTACAGAGCTTGTCAGCAGGCCGAGTCCGGGCAAGGTTCACTGAAGTCTCGACTCAAACGGTTAACTTGCGCTTTAGGGGGGCTCTCGTTTGACATTACATATCCGAGCAAGCCAGACCAAAGCGAAGGTTCGGCTTAAGCCCTGACGTGGACAAAGATGGGCCCTGCCTCTAGAACCTGACAGAGAAAGCCCCTACAGTGAGCATCTGCCTAAAAACTTTCAATCCAATAGACAAGAGGTGACGAGTGCAATGCTTTGTGCCGGGCCGGTGTTGGGGCAGACGGTGTGTAACCCGGCAGGAGCAGGTTTTGCAGGAGGAGGAGCTGAATGCAGTCTTCGAGAACACGTTCTGCCCGATCCACTGTCCTAGAGTGTGTTGCTTTTACTTCAAGGGGCTTTGTGAGTGAGGTGTGTAAGACTGAGGTCTCGATTTTGTCGTGACTTTCGAAGTCAATGGCAAAACGGAGTCACGAGAGCTTTGCAATCCTGGCCTGCTGAACGGTTTAATTTTCGGGGTTTCGGGCTTAGGGCGGGTTCAGGGGCCTGTAGCCTTTCGAGCGCCCCCCTGGGGAAGCTGACGAAAGGCTCATCACGACAGGCAAAGATGGCAAGGACAAGGCCGTCACCTACAGCAATCGCGAGGATTTCGTCAGGCTCTACTGTGAATGGCTGCTGACAGAGAGCGCCATTCTCAGTGACGATGCAGTGTGACTCTTTATGGCTTTATATGACTTGTGACTAGTGACTAGTTGCAGCGGATCGCTTCAATGCGCAAGCTGTAAGGTGTCGAGCGCCAATTTGAGCCCTTCCGGAAGGGAGTGCGGCGAGCCACGAGCTGAGCTTCGTCAAATCACGGGTGCAGGGACGCTTCCACAAACAGCTCTGCTCCTTAATCCCTACACCTTGAAACCCCCTCAAAAATCCTGACCCTCAACAAGCTAGACTGGCAGGTGTGCGACTCCCCACTCTTCAATGTCGCGGGCCAAGCGGTCCAGTGCATGCGACTGCCGAGCAGTCGAATTGAGAACGGTTCGCTTACCCCGGCTGCGACTCACTATATTTAGGGTTTAGTGTGACGGCTTAGGGTTTCTTATTTACTCTACTCTACTCTATTCTACGCATACTCTGCTACATACTATACGATACTACAGAAACGATCCGAACCTCAAACAACTACACTTTTACTTACAGCCTCTCTAACAGGCGCTTCACAGCGCCGAGTTGGAGCTGATTGTCTGCGGAGAGCAGGATGCCTGGGACTTTATGTAGGGGTTCCTCGAAGACTCTAAAGGTTACTGTAAGGGTTGCAAAGAAGAGCTCCAACAGCACTCGCAGACATAGTGTGGTAGGGTTTAGGGGTTTCGGGCTTTGAGGGCCTACTAGAAAGGATTAGCCAATGTCCTACAAAGACTTTGGATGTATGGAACACGACCGGAGCTTCCCAGCGCATCAGGAGCTCGAATTTTCGCAGTTGCGGAAAAATGCTCACTACGATGGCTACCAGGAGGAGCAACGTACACACCATGCCGGCGTAGGATCTGTCTTTCCCTCGCTCACTCTCACTCTCACTCTCACTCTCTCTCTCTCTCTCTCTCTCTATATATTTATATGCATATAATATACACATGTGTATCTATATATCTATCTATCTGTACATACATACATACCTACATACCTACCTACCTACCTACCTACATACATACATACATACATACATACATACATTCATACATTCGTACATTCATACATTCATACACACACAAATACATACATACGAATATATGCATGTGTGTATGTATGTACGTAGATAGGTAGGTAGGTAGGTAGGTAGGCAGGTAGGTAGGTAGGTAGGTGGGTAGGGCATGTGTGCTTGCGGTCTGTATGGTAGGTAGTAGTGTGTGTATGTACCGTATGTACGGTATGTATGGTGTGGTTATGTTATGTATGTATGGTGTAGTAATGGTATGTATGTATGAATGTATGCATGCATGCATGCATGTATGCACGTGTGTTTGTATGTATGTAAGACATGCGCACCTGCATGTATGTATGTATGTATGTATGTATGTATGTATGTATGTGTGTATGTATGTATGTATGTATGTATGTATGTATTTCTTCATGTATTTATGTATGTATGTGTTTATGCATCTGGCTTTGCATGTATGTATGGATGTATGTATGCATACATGCATGTATGTATGGATGCATGTATGTGTTGATGCATGTGTTCATGTAGGTATGTCTGTCTGTCTGTCTGTCTGTCTGTCTGTCTGTCTGTCTGTATGTCTGTATGTCTGTATGTCTGTACGTATGTATGTATGTATGTATGTACATATGTATGTACATATGTATGTACATATGTATGTACATATGTATGTCTCTGTGTGCGTGCATGTATGTGACTATGTATTTGTTTCTGCAGGCAGGCAGGCTGGCAGGCAGGCAGGCAGGCACGTAGGTATGTAGGTATGTAGGTATGTAGGTATGTAATGTATGTATGTATGTATGTATGTATGTATGTATGTATGTATGTATGTATGTATACACGTGCATGCACACACATCTACATGTGTGTAGTTACATGGTAGCGAGATCCACACATTTCCATGTCGTTGGTCGTAGGACTCGTCCTACATCAAGTCCTTCTGGGACCTTTTGTTGAACTTTGACAAGGCTCCTGCATGTATCTTTTGCCGCGTCTTTCGCAGAAGCCTTCATGCTGTCTCAGGTTCAGAAGAAGCGGTTTCTGTCATTCGTAACGGGTAGCGACCTGGCTCCCGTCAGATGCTGAGCATCGTTCTGGAGCTCGCAGACCCTGGAATTTCTTGTGCAGCCATAGGGTAACAAGCTTCTGATGCGGTGAAGCTCCAGCACGCCCCTCGTGAGTTATTCCACAAAATCAATAAGCACACAGAGTTTGCAGCAACTGGGCGGTTGTTTTTTCAAAGCCAAAGTTCGTGCTTGATCACGTGCCCTACTTCAGCAAGCCTGAGGAACAGGGAGTTGAATCCTAAGAAGTCAAAACCGAAGCCCCTAGCCCTGAATGTTTAAGCCTCAACCTCAAGCGCATAGCCCCTGGAACACTATAGTTGTGGTGATGATCTCGTGGAACCCCAATGGCTACAGCGCTACCCCTAAACCCGAACCCCCAACCCCTAACCGCAAAATCCTAGACCCTGAAGCTTTAAAACCCCCAATAGAAGCCCAGAAAAGCCTGCATAAGGTGGGAGGACTTCAAGAGCTGCAGCTCGTCATCCAACGCAATGGAGATGCCAGGGGCTCATCAATGCAACCCCTTGGGGGCACCTTGGGGTGTTGGGTTTAGCGTTTATAAGCGTTCAGGGTTTTGGGTGTCGGTTTCGGGGGTTGGGGGTTTTGGGCTAGGGGCCTGAAGAATCAGTAGTTACGTTTTCGCGTTGTTGTTTCAGGGTCGAGGCTTTAGCGTGGAGGTTGTCGTCGGGCCTGGTGGTAAGGATTACAAAGGTTCGGCTGAGTGAGCATTAGCATGACCATGTATCTGCAAACCTCGCTTCCCTGCAAAGGAATATGACTGGGCTTCTGATGCTTTTGCCCATTTAGCCGTCGCATGAAGCCGCAGATCACCAACCTGAAACCTCAAAAAACCCCTACTTAAACCCTAAACCCATACACCCTTAAACCCCTGAACCCTGGACGCTCAACCCCCTAAACCCCAAACGTACCCCGATGATCGCCAGTCTTTGTAAGCTGCTTGAGGAGCCTACGGAGCGACTTCCGACAGCGCACACCTGCGCTGCACTAAGAGGGTTTAGGGGTTTTGGGGGGTTTAGGGGTTTAGGATCTAGGGGGTTTAGGGGTTCAGGAGCTAAGGGTTTAGGGGGCTTCCAGCTCCTGCCCAGATTTCCATCTGGGAGCTATGTCCTCGAAGAGTAAGGGCTCACGTTTTGCGGAGTCTTTCTGCTCAGAATTCCGATTTCTGAGGTCTGCGCTACAGTACAGGATGAATTGCTTCTTGAAACCTCCGGATTTCCGTAGTATTTCAGACCCTACGGGGAAGTCGGGGTCTACCCTATGCTGCAGCAAGAAGCCTTCAAGTTAAGGTTTAGGGAGTTTAGGAGTTCGAGGGCGTACGAGTTTAGGAGTTCAAGGGCTTGGGGGCTTCGGGATTGGGGCAGAATGGGGAGGAAGGGTCAACGTGAGAACCTGCGACCACCAACCATGCCCGGTTCAACGGCTTTAGGGTTTAGGGGTTATATACATCATCATTATCATCCAAGCGTCTATTGTTAAGGGCGAGCAGTACGTACATGGCCTCTGCGGAAGACGGTCTGTCTTCGTCAAAACCGTGCTCAAGTCCCGAAGGGTTCAGGGTTGAGGGCTTAGAATTTGAAGAGACTTCAGGGAGGGGAAAGGCTTGAGAACGGGTAACGCAAGGGGTTCATGGCTTTTTTGGAAGGTCCCTGGGACTGGGAGAGGGCGCTTCGGGTCGAGAGTCGGTTTAGTAAACCCTAAACCCTACACCCTAAACCCTAAACCCTAACGTATGGTGTCTATTGGTCTCTCTTCGGAATGCCTTCTTTGATTGGTGTCCTGGGAGTAGCTAATATGTAGAAGCTTAAATAGTTATATACCAATGTTATATTCCTCTGGGTTCCTTATTATAAGTATATACTATAATAGGAGCCCCAGACCCCATTCTAAGTCTTAAGGCCTCTATGTTACTAGTACGGTTTTTTCTTGATGGCCGTGAGGCTTCAATCTGCTGCTTCTCCCAGAGTACGGCCCCGGCCCCAGTGACTGCTCTTGGACCCCGAAACCCGAAACCCTGAACCTCCTGAACCCTGAACCCTAAACCCCTAACCCCTAAACCCCTAAGCCCCTATAAATAAACCCTAAACCCCTACACCCCTAAACCCCTAAACCCCTAGACCCTAAACCCTGAACCCTGAATTCCTCCTTCAAAAGAGAGGCTCTGAAGCGAAGCTGGAGCGGATGATCACCACCGCGATGCACAACGCCGAAGGCATGTGTCCACAGTTTGGGGTTTAGGGCTAGGGCTGGATCAAGGCAGATTGGCCTTTGGAGTTACTGTACAGTATGTAGGCATACTAGAAGGGGTCGCTGGCTTTGGAGTTAAAACACCATAGTACAGTATGTAAGGATATTGTTGATGCTGACAATCTAGGGAGTCTAATTTACAGCCCTAAACCCTAAGCCCAGCCCGGTTTCTGAATCTGGAACTCTGGACTCAGAGGGCTCGGGGATGGCCCTGAACCGAAATCAGTCCCGATGTACGCAAGACTCAACAGGAGGCGCTGCGAAAAAACTCTGAACCCTAAAGCCTAAACCTCTAAAACCCTCCCAAAGCCCGAAACCCTAACTCCTAAACCCTGTTTAGACAGCAAACCACCAAACCCTAAACCCTGTAGACGCGTTAATTCAGCCTGTAGCCTTGACTAACAAGTGTGCCATTCTCGAAAACCTGAACACAAACTCTGAGCTTGAATTCCCACCAAACCTAGCAGCCCTGGCTTTGGGGGCCTGAAGCTGTCAATAGGTTTTGGTGTGAGAATATACTTCTAAGATTCTCGAGTTATCGTATTTTTGCGGGTCTTAGAGTTATTTTACTTTTTTTCGGTATCAAGCATGCAAGCATGTCGGCAATATGGAAAAAACATGTGCAATCATCACAGGCCACTATACGAAACCCGTACGCTCGGCTTCTCCCATGCGTTTGGCCTGCAGGATTTGGTTTGGAATGAGTCGCTCCCGCAGATGGTGGCGACAACTGTTTCACAGACTTTCAAGACTTCCAGCTAATGCCACAAGAAGGGTTGTTCCGGGCGTGAGGGTTTATGGTCCAGGGTTTAATGGGGTTCTTACGTATAGTCTCCATTGTAGTTCCTTTTGGGGGTTACCTTTTAGGATCCTTAATATAGAATTGGTTAAACCAAAAAAAGGAACTACAATGGAGACTATAGGTAATGACTAATGATGATAACCTCTGAGAGTCCCTGTATAGCTTTGGTATTATTCGATACCCCAAGTCCTTATTTATTCGGGCGCTTGTACCATAATATATATATATATATATTAATATACTGCTCCAAATAATGCCAGGAGAGGGGTTGTTCTATCTTGGGGTTTTGGGTGTCGCAGGTTTTAATCTGTGTCGATGGCATATTCTTTTGGTTACACTTTGGGCTACACGAAACGAAACCCTGGTTTGGAACAACCCTCAGATGCAGCTCTCCGCCAACTGCGGCCTGAGTTTGTAGCTGCATGCAGCCAGGCTCCATCGGATTTTCGCGTGCCCCAAAGCCAGCCCGTGATGTGGCTTTTACCATTTCGCAGCTGCAGCGCCCAAAGAGTCGGCAAGACTAGTTTCGGATGGCAGGCCAAGTGAATTGGATGATGCCGTTCTTCGGCGTCTTCCCAGGCCTTGGAGGGGTGTTTTCCAAAGCAGACCATATCTCTGTCGTGGAGAGCCGTGTGTCAGGCGAATACTTATACCTCTGCCAGATGCCACAACAAGGAGTGTGCTTGTCAGCAAGGACAGCCGCTGCACGTTTGTACCATTCCCTACACCAGGGACCCTTCGAGATTTTAGGTTTTAGGATCATGAAGTGCAGACAGGGCTAGAGTCAAAATTCCATTGAACAGTTTTGTGTACAGCAAACAGGCAAGAAATAGGAATTCAGGACTTTCATAATGAGGAAGAAAGATAGGATTTCGATGCGAATCCATGCAACAGTCGAAAATCACAAAAAAACGTTGTTTCCTATATCCCTTTTTCCGCTGAAGTAAGAGAAAAAAAAGATGGAGACGGAGTTGCGGTGCGAAGCCCCAGGTTTCGATTCAGAAATAGACAATTGTACCCTGTGTTCGTCCCGTTTCCCCTAAAGCGGGAAAGGACTTAAACAGGATTTCGGTGCGGAACAATGGGTGTCGATGCAACAATCACAACGGCACCGAAATTGGTGGTTTTCATGGACATATAACTACACTATGTATTTTAAAACCGTTTAAGTGAATTTCCTGAACACGATTCCCAAACATACTCAGGTATTATCTTGAGGAAATATGTTTTTTTGATTTAGCTACTGTTGACATGAGTAAGACCATCCAACATGGTGTAAAAGCATTGGAGACACGTTTTTAATGATTTCTATCAGGCAAACTTAACAGAACAAGCCAAACTAAAAGCATCAATAGCATCGGCTTAGAGGATGACAGAAAAGCGCAGTTCACAGCACAGACAAGGTGCGAAGCAGTTTCATCAGTGCCAAGACAGAGAAAGAAAAAGCAACAGGCAAACGCATTTGCAGGAGTTGCACGGAGCCAGGCACAACTTGACCAGTGCTGACTTCACCAGGCCCGAGGATGGCAGCCTTTATGCCAGTCTAGGATTCACTTTTGTTTTGGGGGTTTTAAGGTTTGGGGTTAAAGGTTTTGGGGTGGGGGCGCGGCACAGCTTTTTGGGGCCGTTGGTGGGTTATAAAGGTCGTTAAGAAAACAGCTCAGGCTTGCCAGCATGACCGAAGGCTACTCCTGCTCCGTGCCAAGTGAGTATTCTCGTTTTCACTCCTGCGCAAATTCCTCTTGTCGAGTACCAGCCCAAGGCTCTGACCTTGCGGCGTTGACGCGGGAGGCCTCCGTTTCATACATACACATATGTACACACGAATACATCTGTACAAGCAAACGCAGATAGGCATCATGTTACATAGGACCCCTGCAGGCTGCAATGGGTCCTGTACGAGGTCTGAGACCAGAGGCAGCGATTGGGCCCGCCCGGTCTGGCCTCAACACATGCTCGCAAGACTCTGAACGTGGAGCACAGCCATCGACGGGTTATGCTTGCGAGTGAGCACGTGCTTGTGGCCGTTGTTCGTGGTGCCACTGTCTTTTATTCGTGGATGATGGTATGCGTAGCTGAATGTATACTTTGCCTCCACGCCAGGCCATGGTGTCCGCCACACCGGATGGTATACGAGCCATCGTTCTGACGGATTTTCAAGCCGCGATCCACAAGGCCACAGTTGTTTGTTCATAGTGAATGGGCTGCACATTGGTACTCTCTACACACTACTAGTAGCAAACCAGAGTTGTGCGATATGTTCGAAAACGATTCAATTCAGAGTCGTTTGCAATCTTTGCACCGTTCCATGCAATATGCAGTACACAAAAGACTCTGACACATAGTCTAGCTTATCGCACAATGACTCTGGTATTACGTTTTGGCATCTCGGTCATAGCGGTGAAGCTTGGCTGCCCCTAAACCCTATGACTTTGTTGCCTGCAGCACCGCTCCACGACAGGTGAAGCCAAGCCTTTCAAAGGAAGCGCTGTCGGAGTTTCACAGGCCCGGACGTTACTTTGCGGTGCAGTTTAGCGGTTTTATGGTCTGGCATGGAATATTACTGCCAGTTTAAAGTCTGTTGCAGTTTATCAGAGACAGCTCCGTTGAGTCGCGCGGCTTTCATGCGGATGATTGCAGGTGGAATCGAGCTTTTGGCAGCAATTGATGATCGGAAGCCCTTCTGAGAGCCTTTTGTTGACTCATGATTTAAGCGAAAAGCAACGACCGTGACTGCACCTGACTTTGTACAGTTGTTGCCAACCAGTGTGCCTTTCACACTGGACTCTCCGCTCTCGTGTCCCTTAACCCGAGCTCTCTAACTTTAGACGGCATCAAGATCTTAGAGGAACCTCACCTTGGCAGCACATGCAGGGCCTTCATCATGGCGTCAGTGAAGTAACTGCCTGCAGCAGCCCTCACCAGCTCACGCTCGTGCCGCAGCTTCAGTCAAAACTGTAGCTGAACAGGCAGTGCGAGGCTACTGAGCCCTGCAACCGTCGACTCCATGCACATGATATGTTGTTTCAGTGCTCCTCAAAGAGGTCTCACCGGCCCTCCAAGCCTCGTAAGCTCCAAGGATTTCGCCAAAACGGGTCAGACGAAACAACGATAGACTGTGGTTTTGTAGTCTAAGTACAAGAGGTTCGGTCAAGAGACCTAGGCCTAGGGATCTTAGGGGAGCCTTAAATCCGAGACCTTGAACCGCCAAGGCCTTGCTACAAGTCGCTCCATCACAACCTAACCTCGTTTAGGGTTTATAGGGTTTACGGCATCCGACGATCATGGCCTTGCAGGAAGGGAGTTTATCCATCACCTCACATGTGCTGCCATGGCAGACACCAACGAAGAAGCTCCTTCGGGGGAGTCTTCGGGACCCCAACAAGCCGGGCCCAACCCTCCAGGCCTCGTCGTAGCCTTCTACGGTTACCTTGAGCTCGGGTGGTGAGATTTCCTAGTCTTCACCTTCCAGGACACGAGGATAATGATTGCTGCCGCTTGTTTTGTGGAGGTCTGGGATTTTGCGGTACAACTACAGATTGTAAGTTTCAGGAGTTGGGCGGATATTTGGACAGCTTGGAGGTTGGCAAAGCATATGAACTCGAAAATTCCCGGTTGGTTTGTAGGTTTACGCTTAGGGAATCGATAATTTCATTTGAGAACCCTAGCTCGAAATGGATTTGATAGGCATCGGTCTCTACACATTCGACCAGAGCTGTCGGGATGCCTTCAAACACGTTTACATTGCTTGACTAACCTAGGGGCCCAAAGAATTGCCAATACTATTTTGGGAGTTCCCTAGTATTACTATTTTTCCTTATTGTAATTACTATTCTTCTTCTTATTATAGTATAAGATACCCCCCCCCCCCCAA